GCCATCGAAAGCGGCCAAGGATGGACCGAGGAGGCAAGGACGCAAAGGCACCCTTGGGAAAATTGCCCATCCTTACCATGCGGGTTGACTGTAGGCCAACTCTCCGCCTCCGTACACTGGGAGGAAGGGGAGGAGGAAAAGGAGGAGGAGGAGGAAGAGGAGGAGGAAGTGTCAGAGGAGGAGGGGGAGGGGGAGGAGGAGACGTCCTTCGACGCTGTGGACGCACCCCAGCTGGTTGGGCCGGCTCGGCGTGGCCAGTACTCCACGCTGCTGCTCTACCTTGGCCTCCTCCTCCACGCCTCCATAGCGCGTGCTTCATGCTGTCAAAACAATGTCCTCGGTATTGGAAACTGGAGTGCCCATGTTTTGCGGGTTGCTCCCAACCCCTCCCCTGGGTGAAATGCGACGTGCCCGACATTCGAGAGCATGCTCACAGCCGAGTGCCCAGTGTGCCCATGGTTGTTTAGGTGGACGACTTGACCCAGAGTGTGCAAAGGACAGCTCAGCATGTCTGTCGAGTGCTTGTGTCAGCAACGCTAGAGCTGTGCCAGAAATTCCGTGGTAGGCGTTCCAGTATGTCGGTCAAGTCGTGTGCCGTTGTCTCAGCGCGGACGCTTGAAAAGCCCGTTCAGTACCCCTGTGGGCGTGCTCTCCTCCATCTGAAAGATGGTCGATACTGTGAAAGACCTTGGAGTAAGAACGACCGCTGGGAAGAGGACTATGTGGAAGATGCAACAGAGGGTACAGGAGGCTACGAGGAGATCCAAGAAGCTGAATTTCTTGGCTAACATGACGAACAAACGAATTTGGAGGTTGTTTAAACCGGCTGTGTTTGCAGCGGCATCTGGTCTCATCAAGTGCAAGGCTACCCACCCTCACGTGTTCACCGTACCCGTGCACACGCTGTCAAGGCGACGGGACGCTGGGGTGCAAGTGCCTGTACTACTGCTCTTCTTTCTCTAGGGAATACCGTCCTTGATGATCCAGGGTATAAGCTCGGGTATGAACAACTGCTGGAATGGAGCAGGCTCTGGAATAAGATGGATGATCAGACCAAGATAGACATCATGAAAGCCTGGAATTTACCAAAAGAAAGCCTCAACAAGGCGGGGGCCAATATTTGGAGGTACGTGAGAGGCCTCATCGGGGCAGTGGTCGCCACCGTGTTGGGGCTCGTAGTGGAACCCCGGGGGCCGATCCGCTGGAAGTTTTCTGGAATTACCCTTCGAGTTGTCGTACATATTAAGTTCTATGCGAGGCATGTTGTTGAGTCAACAGTTAGGTCTCAGCAGTGACAGCAGGCGACCAAGCATGTTTGTGGCACTGCCTAGCAAAAGGTGCAGACTTTACCACGTGTAGGAAGTTTAGTGAGCAGTTGCAAACGGTGTATGATAAGAAGGGCTGGGTCTGCTTGCCTATCTTGTCAGCATTGCGCAGTGGCCCGAAGCGAGACTCAAGGAATGCGGGTACCTCAGCAATGGACTGTGCTCCAAATTCGGGGCAATGCTGGAAGATCTGCACCATCGCTTCTGGGAGTGCCGCTGTTGTGCTGACATTGACGAGCCAGTGATCCAGCAGACCAGTCATATGTGAGACGATGCCAGAGAGGCGCATCTGGGTGGACCATAGATGTGATCCTTGCCGCGGAGGGAAACATATGGGCCTGGAAGTCCTATGGAGCCCATCTAGGCTTTACTCCTCCCTCTGCCCCCTCCCCCTTGACCTGGACGGGGGGGTCCGTGGAGGTGGAGCGTCCAAGGCGGCCTCTGCGAGAAGGCACACATCATTGCTTTGACTTGGGTGTTGGCCCCATTGACGTACTCCCCCTTCTTTGATGGAACTCCTCCAAGATGGCCCCAAGATAGCCCCCCCAGGCTCCCAAGAGTGCCCGAAGAGGGCCCAAACAGGCGCCCAGGAGGCCCCATAAAGGTCCCCAAGCGACCCCCAAGCGACCCCCAAGGGGCCCCAAGGAGCTGCCCCAAGGCACCCAAGACGCTCCAAGCGGCCTCTTGGACAGCCAAGAGGCCCCCTAGACGTCCCAAGAGAACTCCAAGAAGCTCTCGAGAGACATCCGAAGTGATTCCGAGAGGTGTCTAAGAGGGCTCTGGCCGTTCTGCTCGCCCCCCTCCTCCTCCTCCTCCTCCTCCTCCTCCTCCTCCTCATCATCATCATCCTACTCCCCTTCCTCTTCCTCCTCCTCGTCCTCCTCGTCCTCGTCCTCGTCCTCCTCTCTTCCTCCTCCTCCTCCTCATCCTCCTCCTCCTCCTCCTCCTCCTCCCCCCCTCCTTCCTCTCCTCCTCCAACGACGACTCCATCCTTCCCCTCTAAGGCTATGACGGCTTCCCCAGACCGTTCTTCCACTGCATGCTTCTCTACACCCCTGATCAAGGCAACTCGCCTGGGCATCGTTTATGGATTGGCTGGTGGTGTTACGCAAAGCACCTAGAATATGAAGGCTGTCAGACGTTTGCTGCCTCTCCAGTAACTTCCGTGGACCTCTGCGGACCCTTGGAGGCCCCTGGGGGGGGAGGGAGGAGGGCGGGAAGAGGAGGAAAGGGAAGAGGAATTTCAGGGGGAGGAGGGCTGGCAAGGAAGAAGGGGGCGGAGGTGCGTCGGGGAGGGCGAGGGAGCAGAGAGGAGCGCCACGGGACGCAGCAGGACCTGCCCGTGCAGTTGCCTCTGCTCCCCCCCTCGGGAGGCGCCCGCCCGAGCCGGAGGACAGCCCGAACACCGACGGAGCTCGCTGCCCAGGCCGCGAGGCCAGAAACCGACGCCAAATCCTCCTCCTCCTCCTCCTCCTCCTCCAAATCCTCTCCTCCTCCTCCTCCTCTCATCCTCCTCCTCCTCCTCCTCCTCCTCCTCCGCCTCCTCCTCCTCCTCCTCCTCCTCCTCCTCCTCCGGTCGTTGCCCCTCCGCCGTGGTTTTCTCCCCTGGCCGCGAGCCCGTCTGCAGGAGTGCCGGGCGCGCGCCGCCCCCTGCGGGGCCGACGAGAGGAGCGCGGACTGCGCCGGACAGCAGCAGAGTCGGAGCTCCGTCACAAAGGGAGCCCCTTCGCAGGGAACGGGGCGCCTTCTCTCCCTGAGTCGAGCTTCGACGTCCCACAGGAAACCTAAGGAACACCCAAGAGCAGCCACAAAACGAGGATGGGACACTGAGCCCCTGCCCACCCAAAAGGGCGGATTGCACCGAACAGCAGCACAGTCGAGGCGCTGTCACAAGAGGAGCCCCTTCGCAGGGAACGGGGCGCCTTCTTTCCCTGAGTCGAGCTTCGACCCACAGAAAACCTAAGGAACACCCAAGAGCAGCCACAACACGAGGATGGGACCCTGAGCCCCTGCCCGCCCAAAAGGGTTCCCCGGCAAGCGGCCCCCCCGGCTGCATGTGGGTGGTGGGTCAGGGTGTCAAGGCAGGCCTGGCCCGCAAGAAGGGGTCTGAGTCTTGCGCCTCACGACGCAACGACGGCTGGGGTGACACGACCAAACAACACGACACAACACGACGACAACGACGAAAGACGCCGACGAAGACGCTGACGACGACGACGGCGGCGACGGGGAGAAAGGAGGAAAAAGAACGGAAGAGGGACAATGGAAGCCGGAGGAGAGAGGATCCTTCGGCGACGCCTCGGCGCGCGCCCAACGGCAGCGCGGGGACAGGTACTGCGAGCCGTGCCGGAGGAGGTTCGCCAGCACGACCGGAGAGGCGAGGCGGCGGGGCGAGGCCGCGGAGGGCGAAAAACGGAGGGAAGGACGTCCGCCAGCACGACAAGAAATGCGGCGGCGAGCACGACTGGAGGCGGAGCGGTGGATCGGAGCGCACGGAAGGGGAACGAGAAGGATGAGGATGCCAGGGGCGACCACGAAGAGGTGGAGGATGACGATCGAAGGGCGACCGCGAGGAAGAGCAGGAGGAACGAGGGGCGACCGCGAGGAGGAAGATTAGGATCGGGGGGGCACGAGGAAGATGAGGACGGAGACGAGGACGAGACGGAGGAGGAGGAGGATCAGGGGGAGAACGGAAGGAGGGGCTGGCACAGTGTGGAGGCCGAATCAACTGCACGCAACTGTTTGCTAGGGCGCCTCGAAACGCCGGGCGCGACCATGCATCGCAAAAGTCTGCGTGGCGATAGAACCAAGGCCGGCTGCATGCAGCAAGCCCTACCTGCCCTCTGTGCGCAACTGCTTGAGAGCGGTGCCTTTTACAAGCCCAGTCTTCCCCTTCAGGGAGGGGGTTGCAAGAGGGCCCGAGAACAGCCCCAGACGGAAGGTCCCAACGAAAGCTCCAGAGTGTGAGCACGAAGTGTCACCTCGAGTTCCTCGCCCCAAAAGGCCTCCATGAGGCCCCCAGCAGGTCCCCAAGAGACACCACGGAAGACCCAAGGGTACCCCAAGACCCAAGAGGCCCGATTTGCGTGGGAGATCGTGTGCCTCCGCCAGCGCGGATGTTTGAGGCATCTTGCGCCTCCCAAGATGGCCCCAAGACGGACCAAGAACATCCACGACAGGCCAAGATGGCCACAAGATGGACCACGACGGTTCAAGAGGACGGCCCAATCTGGCATCGAGACGGCCCCAGCAGCACTCAAGACGGCGCAAAAAGGCTTTAGGAGGACACCCAGGGGATCTCCAAAGGTTAAACGCATGGGAGAAAACAAAAAACGCAAGGTGTAGGAGTTTACAAATGTTGGACCTTCCGCCTCCAGGGCCGCCAAGAGTGTCCAAGAAGCCCCCTGGAGGCTCCAAACGGCCCCCAGGCGGGATCAGCGAGGCCAAAGAACGCGCGAGCCGCCGCGCTACTGGATCCTCCGGCCGCTGCGCGCACGGAGCCTCCCCCAAAACCCTGGACTCGGGCAACGAAATACACGCATGCGTCACGGAATCGGCGCAGGAACGGCATCACGAGGAAGAGGATTCTTGTGCTCCTCCGATAGACGCCGAACGCGCCAGCTACGGGGGGAAGCACAGGCTGGAAAGAAGGGATGGGCACCACTGCGCTCCCGATCAGCGGCCTTGCACGATGAACTCCGCGGCCTCCTCCTCGGCCTGCTCGGCGCACTCCCTCGTCTGCGGCCCTGCGCGCCGCCTCGCGATCGAGCGCCAGGTCGCTCTGGTCCGCTCGAGCTGCACCTCCTTCTGAAGGACGTCATCAACGACCAGCGGGTCGTCGGCGAAATGCCCGTGTACAAACGGGCACATGTCGTTCACGCAAAACCCTTCGCCCCACACGGGCGCCGAGCTCCACGCGGGCGCCGAGCGCCCCCGAGTCTGCAGCCCCGCGCCCATGCGGTTGGTCCTGTTGTCGACCCAGCCGTGGATCAAGGAGTGCTCGCGCATACTGGCCCGTGTCATGGCCAGCGCGCGGTGCAACGGCTGGGCGCACGGACCAATGCAGTCCTGCTTGGCCCAGTCCGTTGCCAGGGCGATCTCGAAGATCCACTCGTCCGCTACCTCATGTCGTGGCGCGCACCATCATTGCAAGCCTGTGCGCGGCTCGCCTGCGGTCGCCTCGTACGCGTCGACGTTGGTCGCCCTGCCGCCCAAGACCACCTCGGTGACTCTGGGATTTGCTTGTGCGGCCCCGCACCCCACCGCGCCAGCTCCTGCGGCACGTCGCCCTCGCTCACCTCCGTCAGGTGGGCGCAGTGGGTACTACCCTGGTTGCCCTTGAAGCACTGCTGGCCCCCGTCGACCAGTGGGCTGTCGTCGATGCTCACCTGCGCCCCGTCTGCCTCCAGGTCGCCGCCGGCGCTCAACTCCGCGCCGGCAACGTCGAACATCCGGCCCTGGCCCGCGGGCTCCGCGTTGTTGGGGGTTGTTTGCGCGGCCCCCCCCGCGCAAGGTCCTGCAGCACGTCGTCCTTGCTCACATCCGTCGAGAAGGCGGGGTGGGTACGCCCTGGTAGCCCTTGAAGCTCTGTTGGCCCCCGTCGACCAGCGGGCTGTCGTCGATGCTCAGCTGGGCCCCGTCGGCCTCCAGGTTGCCATCGGCGCTGCGCGCCGTGCCGAAGGCGTCGAGCATCCTGCCCTGGCCCACGGGTTCCGCGTTGGTGGAATTTGTTTGTGCGGCCCCCCCACCGAGCCAGGATCTGCATCACGTCGCCCGAGTCCACCTCCGTCTCGTAGGAGCTCTGGCTACTGCCCTGGTTGCCAATTCCTGCTCTGCTGGTCCGCGTCGACCAGCGGGAAGTCTTTGAAACTCACCCTCGCATCGTCGGCCAACACGGTGCCGTCGATGCTCACCACAGCGCCGAAGGTGTCGAGCATCCTGCCATGATCCTCGGGCTCCGCATCCTCGCCACGGAGAAGAGGGACGATGTGACAGCCCGCCGCGACGCCATCTGCGAATGCTGCGGCTGCGCAGGCAACCGCGTCACAATGCAGCGTGTCGGTAGCAGGGATGTGCCACACTCCAGGCGCACATCCCTGGCCCGCGTCGGCCTCCACCCACTCCATGGGCAGTTGCAGCCCAAGCGAGGCGGACAGCGCCACGCTGCACGCTGCACGCTGCGTGTGGCGGATCGCCACCACCGCCGCTCTCCTTCCTCTGCGGGCCGAACGGGACGGCGAGGCCGCGCCCACCTCGCAGGGCGGTGCGGCGCAGGCGCCATCCATGTCGCGTGATGCACCGTGGCCCGCGACGGGCGACACGGCGTCCGGGGTCAGGTCTGAAACTGGCGCCAGCTTGGGCTCATGGACCTGACGCCTCACAAGGAGAAGGAAGAGGAGGAGGAGGAGGAGGAGGAGGAGGAGGAGGAGGAGGACCAGTGTAAACCAAGAGTCACCAACGATGTTGAATAAAAATCCTCCCCCAAGCTCCCTCTTCATAGGCCCCTACAACGGTTCATTTCCACAGAGGGACCTGCCTCGTTGGAAGACATCCGTTTAAGACCCTGAAGCATGCCACAACATTATCCTCGGTATTCCAACGCCACGGATGAACCTGGCTGTTGTGTCCTGACGATCCTGAATCATGTCAGAACGCCATTTCCTCAACCTCAACTCCGCGAATCATCCTAACTGTTCCGCCCTCAAAAACCGTGAATCCTTCCAAAATACCATTTCTGGTACGTCGATCATGGGAATCCGTGAAACTCTTGCAATTTTGTATCCGGAATGTGCGCGGCGCTAAAGCGAGAACCACGTTTTGAAAAGGAACCGACTTCAACCCGTGAAACTCTGGTAACTTTTGAAAACGGATGTGCGCGCTGCTAAGGGGCGAGAAAAACATTTTGAAAAGGAGCCGCCCTGAATCCGTGAAGCTCTTGCGAATTTTGATAACGAAGGTGCGCGGCGTTAAAGCGAGAACCACATTTTGAAAACGACCCGCCCTCAATCCGTGAAGCTTTTGTCATTTGTTTTAAACGAATGTGCGCGGCGCTGAAGCGAAAACCACGTTTTGAAAACGACCCGCCCTCAATCCGTGAAACTCTTGTATGTTTAATGAATGTGCGCGGCGCTAAGGCGAGAGCCACATGTTGAAAACCACCCGCCCTCCATCTGTGAAACGGCTGCCAAGCTTTAAGATGCAGGGTCATAACTGGCGAGGAAGTCTCAGGGTGCGACAGGGAGAAGTTATATATATATACATATAAGCAGAAAGAATGGAGGAGGAGGAGGAGGAGGAGGAGGAGGAGGAGGAGGAGGGCAGGGGGGGACGCGGAGGAGGGAGAGGCGGGAGGGAGAGGAGGAAAGCGAGAGACACCAAGTGACACATGCTACGACCTCGCCATGGAAACGTATTGCCCCTGGCCCCCCCCGCCTCATTAGAGGAGCTGGAAGATGCTGAACTGCCCAAGCGGATCATCCAAAGATCCAACGCAGAATGGCATAGGAGAAGGGACAGGAGGAGGAAGCGGAGGAAGAGGAGGAGGAGGAGGAGGAGGAGGGGATGGAGAATGAGGAGGAGGAGGAGGAGGAGGAGGAGGAGGGTCGGGGAGGAGGGAGGAGGAGGAGGAGGAGGAGGGGGGGGGGTGGAGAAGGATGGAGGAGGAATGGAGGACGAGGAGGAGGGAGGAGGACGAGGAGAGGAGACAGGGGAGGGGGATTGAGGAGGAGGGCGATGGAGGAGCTGGATGGGAAAGAGGGAGTGCGGAGAGGAGGAGGAGGAGGAGAGGAGGAGGAGGAGAAGGAGGAGGAGGAAGAGGAGGTAGGAGGAGGAGGAGGAGGAGGAGGAGGAAGAGGAGGAGGAGGAGGAGAAGGGGGATGGAGGAGGACGAGGAAGAGGAGAAGGATAAGAAGAAGGACACTTATAATACGAATAATAAAGACCATAATAATAAACATAAGTCTACGAATAATAAGAATACTGACGAATCCGACTAACACTACGAATCCGAATATTGATAATAGTAAGAATGGACATACGAATGAAAAATAATAAAAAACAGCCAAATAAGAGTAATACGAATACGAATAATAGCAGGAGGGGGGGGTGGAGGAGGAGGGAAGGAGGAGGCGGAGGAGGAGGAGAGGAAGGAGGGGAGGGGGAGGAGAAGTGAGAAGCGAGAGAAAACCAAATGACAAATTGTACACGTGCGCCAATGGAAAGTATCACCCCCGCCCCCGTATTGCGGAGCTGGAAGATGGCTGAAATGTCAAGCGGCCAGTTAAAGTCCAACGCATGCTGAGATAGGAACATGGCCAGGAGGGGAGGAGGAGGAGGAGGAGAGCGGATGGCGGATGGAATGGAGGAGGGGATGTGGTCGAGGGATCGTGGGCAGGGAGGTAGGAGGAGGAGGAGGAGGAGGAGGATGGTGGAGGAGGAGAGGAGCAGGATGAGGAGGAGGAGGAGGAGGAGGAGGAGGAGGAGGGGGAGGAGAGGATGAGGAGGGGATTGAGGAGGGGGATGGAGTAGGAGGAGGAGGAGGAGGAGGAGGGTGATAATGAGAATAACAACAATGATAAAACATCATAGTAACAATGATAACAATAATAATGCAACTTATAATAAAGAGTGGAACTACAAAAGTACTAACAATACAAACAAGAACATGATACTACTAATCAGAAGACGAATAGTAGTGATAAGAAGACTAAGAAGAACAATCATAATCAAACGAATAAGACGATGTAGACGAATACGAATACTACAAGATTCAGACGACGGTGTAGGAGAGGAGGGGGAGGAGGAGAAGAAAGAAGGATAACCCAAGAGGGGCCCAAGATGACCTAAAGACGGCCCCACGAGAAGCCCGAAAGGCGTTCCAGGAGGGATCCAGAGCCCCCAAAGGGCCCTAAGAGAGCCCACGAGGGCAACCAGAAGCCCCGAAGGAGCACCAAGGTGACCCCCGGAGGGCCCCTGGACCCCAGGACCACCACCCTGGCGGGCACATGTTCCCGAGGAGGGTCCGCCGCGACTCCTGCTCTGCGGGCTCCGTTGGCAAACGTCCTCTACCCACACCGCCCGAGACGAGAGGCCAGGAAGGAAGGAGGTCCCAACCCTCCTGCCTGCTGCTGCTGCTGCTGCTGCTGCTGCTGCTCCATCTCCTCCTCCTCCTCCCCCTCCTCCTCCTCCTCCT